TATTCAATAATGATAGAGAACTCTAGCTAGGTTTATTCCTGTAATTTAAAATCCCCTTGTGCTACACCTTGTGAATATTCAAATGTACAATGTAAACTTTTCGCAAGAATGTGAGGAACCCAAATTTGTGTAATTAGAAGAAATTACAGTTACTTCAATTTTGCAGCTAAAATAGTAGGTTGTATAGTTTAATTTCATTTTAAACTAATATTAACAAGGTCATTATGAAATATAGATCATATTTCGGTACCAATAATGTTTTAAAGTTGTAAAATAATTAATTAAATCTCGCTTATCATTCAAACAAAGGGGAGAAAAGCCGCGGAAAGTGAAACATACTAATTCAGGCACTCAATTTTAAACGCAACGGAACGATAACTATTTAAAGATCATTGTTGGATGTTACACAGTTACACAAAGTTTGGGGTTGAGCCTTTGTTCACAGCAGAACCAGTGTGTTGACAACATTGTACACCTTTTAGGTTCAGAGTTGTCTGTTCGGTCTCAATTATTGTATGTGTAATAAACTAATGTTCCGTGTGAAAGCCATGGGAAATAGCTTTAGAAAATATAAAATAGGCTCAGACTTATCACTATTCGGTCGCAAATGTTTTACTGCAAATCTAATTCATCGTATACAATATACAGGGTTAGGCAAAAGTCTGGAACCCCCCAGTTGACTTTTTAACGCGTTGCAGTACCTAGGAAAACCAAACTTGGCACATATTTACAACATAAGAAATTGCACTTTCTCATCAAAGTTACAGCTTTGCCCCAGACCCCAAAATGGGGTATTTTGGGGTCAGCCCCAAATATTCAAATGTAAACACCTATCATGTGACCCCTCATTTTAAAGGGTTTATCAAGAGAAATTGAATGGCGCAAACCAGAGGTCAATATCGCACCCCTAATCAAAATGGCAGCCATTTTAATTATTTAAGATGAGTAGGGTAGTAGCAAGATAAATTCTGGACACCCCCAGTTAACTTTAAAAATGTAATATTTTAATACTAACCAAAAGGTGAATTCTCTTTTTTTATAAAGGTATGCTGAGTTTAGTTTTCCTGCTATAACCTGTTTAAAAGTTAATAGGGGATATTTAAAAATGACTGCCATTTTGATTAGGGGTGCGATTTGACCTCTAGTTTGCGCCATTTAATTGGTCTTGAGAAACACTTTAAAATGAGGGGTCACATGATAGGTGTTTACATTTTAAAATTTGGAGCTGCCCCCCAAAATACCCCATTTTGGGGGCCGGGGCAAAGTTGTAACTTTGATGACAAAGTGCAATTTCTTATGTTGTAAATATGTGCCGAGTTTGGTTTTCCTACTGCAACGTGTTAAGAAGTTAACTGGAGGGTTCCAGACTTTTGCCTAACCCTTATACGCATTATCAATTAGTGTGTTGTTTCGAAATGTACTTACAAACGTTGTATTTAAAGACCTTATGGTTAAGACATTTACGGTTAAAGACCTTTCAGTTAAATATGTGCTGTATGTCATTTACAAAGGTTGAACAATTCGACGTCCAGTTCCAGATTCCTACGGTCGAAGGCCATTACTGTGCAATGTTGTTGAGATTGGTAAAATATTTAAAAATAGCTTTTATGTATTTAGAGTGGCAATGACTGTTGGGTGCTCATAATACACACACGATATTTCACTACAACAATAATTAGTTTATCATAATACGCAGAACAAGATTTGTATTTTATTTTTTATGTCATTGAGATTACGTTATTTGCTTACCAATTTACGTACCGGCTCCGTGGCTCTGGTTAGTGTAGAAACGCTAACTGAGAAATCATCTGATATAGCGAGCGGGAATGGTCATTCTCACTCTAGATCAGCAATGAGCTATTTTGCGTTGGCCCCTACTGTTTACAGGTGGCAAAGACGGTGGCAATATGATCATTTGATATATGATCATGATCAATATGATCATTCATACCATGGTGGTAGGAAATAGTATATTTCATCCGTGAATGTGCTTCATACATTTCAGCCCCACTTTCCACCCATGAGATTAACTAAATGTTTCGTCATATCCTAACATTATTTAAGCAAACTAATCTATAAAACAAACAAAAAATACTTTTCATAAAAAAATATAAATCCTCTTAAAACTACATTTAGCGTGTTTTCGATTTCGCTAATGCAAATAAGCAGCTGTGCAGTAAGTGATTCGATCATTTGCGTATATTACGGTTGTCCTATTATACATTACACACCATCAAATATCAAACTTTTGAAAATAAAGCAACAATAAGCGACAACTGATTAAACCAATCGAAAAAGAATTTTGATACATGCGCTTGCTGTTAATCGAAGGTGATAACAGCTGATTTTTACTCCCTGGGAAATAAAACGCTGTTTACTTCCTAGAGAGTGAAACCTCAGACCCGCAATGCATGTATTAAAAACGGCTGTTTTTCTGCAGTTTGACGAAAAATGTTATGTAACAATACATGGTGAAACCAGAACACTTCAGTAAAACATAATAAACAGACCTCTAATAGTCAAGTAAATTTGCTGAGGCTTCCCCTTAAACTCGAGAAAGTCAATTTACCCGAACAATAACATAAAACAATTTCCTCTCTGTTTGTTACATTTACCTTTCTGTGTTGTTTGTTCCTTTATTGTTCTGAAAACTTGTGATTGTAAAGTAACTTAATGATATATCTATGAATAATAAAGGTGTTTCGTACTAGGAAAAATCTTTGTAAGATATTCATATTAAACTAATAAAACCTAAACTATAATTACGATCTGTCGTGGCTTGTATCGAGTTCTTGTATGATTACAGTTTTTTATTTTGTAATTTTTTTTTTTTTAAATAAATACTGTCCGAGGATGGAGGTTGTAAGGTCCATTTCCATTGTACTGTAATCTTAAACCACATATCTTTCTGTATTAATTAGAAAATGGAAACGCTTAATGTAAACTAAGATAGGATTTTCTGGGAATACACAGAATGAACAACTTTAACGTTACACCTCATATTTTTCATCTTTAACGGTTCTTGTATTACGAGTAGGTCAAAGCTGTATCTGACTGAAAACTTGATAAATTTCAGCGGAATTTCGATTATAGAAGGAGGAGGTTTAATGCTGGTATAAGCGGCTGAGTCAATTGTTCCAGAACATAACCCTTAGCTGGCGAATGGTTATGGCTACTGCTGACAAAATTTCCCCTGTCGTTTACTCGAAAGGAAATGTGTTTTTACTTTGCCCATGCCAAGCCTATGTTGATAACAGATAAGTTTACTTGAAAATAGCATGTTATGGACTGCAATTGATAAATTAAAATTCAATTTATGGACGTATCAGTACAATTCGAATATTACAATTAAAATATAACGTGATATTTTCGCAAAGATTCTAAAAGTTCTTGAGTTGCAAACATATTACCAAACCTAAGTTTACATTCTTGGAAGACAACAGATGTAAACTAATAAACCAATCATGGGTACAACATTGCAATCCCAAATTAAAGTTCACTGCAAATTATATTTATTAAAAACCACGTTTTAAGCTTACAATCATCTTTCAACCGCTACATTGTTCTTCAATTTTGGTCCTGTAGTATTTTGTCCAAAAACACAAACACTTGTTATATGGTTTTTTAAGTATTTTTTTTATCTAGCAAAATAACAATCTAGGCTCGCCAGAATAATATTGAACTGTCATCCTCTGTGAACTATCAATATTTCACCAAAAATATCAATCAGTGTGAGTGTCGTTGCAATGCCTGCACAAACAGCATAGATAATCAGTGATATCAAAGGTATATAGAGCATCAGTCGCAGCATTGAATGCGAGTCGAACGTATGTCGAAACATGATGTTATTACATTTACGATCTTGTCGTGAAACTTCTTGTTAATATCCATGACTAGTTCAAACTTTTAGGAGTCAAAAATGGGAAAAATGTAGATTTATCGGTTGGTCTGTAAATACATTAAGGGTGCAGTTTGAACTTTATTCATTATATTTGATTTGCAGATAAAATGTAAAAATATGTTTAAAATGCGAATATTAACAATGGCCTAAAATTACCTTGGACATGTACTAAGGGGAGGTTACTTGGGCTTAACACATAATTTATACTGTACCTAATATTTTCTATTTGAATTTAAACACATGTTGTGTCTTCAACAACAACAAGGAAGATTAAAAATAGGCTTGATTCGTAAAAAAATAGTTTGATGGGAGTGAAATACTTGTATTTTGCCATTAATACAAATTAATTACTAACTAGACTGACATAGTAAATGGTTAGATAATTAAAATGTATAAAAATAAACAAACAAGGGCAATTTAGTAGTCATTGACTATTGGATACTGAAGGTAGTGTGAACTACTAAATCGTGTTGAATGTCCAATATAATTTATGTATGGATTAATCAAACCTTCAGCAACAATTGCAGTTTTAAACGTTCCTAGACACAGAGAATATTTAAGTTTGTAGATTTCAATACGCGTTTTAATGGTTCTGTTGCATTATTGATAATTATGAGAAGCCATTGCGAACTTGTTGAACTCGTAATTTTTGCTTTGCATGTAAAAGTGCAATTAAGTTATGAAGTCGCTATGTAAACTGTACAATTATTTTAATTTCACCAGTTAATAGATTACAATATTTGTCATCAGGAAAAATTATGATCACGCATGTATTGTTTTTGTCAGACAAAAGAGAATAGAATAGTTTTTATTTTTGGTCAAGTATTTTGTTACCAATATGCACTGTTGTGTTGAAAACTATATAATGTGTTTTGGTTTCAAAATCTTGCCTTATCTTTTGCTATTAAAAATTATCAGCTTAGCAAAATCATACCTTAGGCATTAGCACCTTTTGTCCTATATATTCCAAACTTCTACAGGAATTTTTTCTGGGGAAAATCCCCCTTCCCGAAACAAGAACTGTGTTTCGTCGTAAATCGTAGGCCTTATTGGCAGACAACATTTACGAGTTAATTACTAACAACTTTGTGTTTTTCAGATTCATGGTGGTGCTGGTGTGCCTGATATTCAGTGTACTGTCCACGATAGAAGCGTACTCAAACTTCGCCAACGAAACACTGTTTTGGATGGTAAGAGATTCTATATACCTGTAGCCTACTCTGCCTTACCAGACAGAGTGTTAAATTACATCATCTGATGACATATCCATCATAATTGACGTTGTATGTGATTGCGACTGAATCATCAGTTGACTCACAGTTTTTTGAAAATTTCGATCAGCCGCCCTGCAATCAACATATCGATGAGTTTACAACTCATACGGTATACCCTTCAAATCTGCTACTTTTTAATTTAAAGTTTTAAGGTTTTATTAGTTTAATAAAAATTAAATTTTTTTGGGAGGGGGAGCAATTTAATATTATATTTATTTTAGATAACGTTCATAAAAACTAACATAAATTAATTACTTCACCCAAACAGATACAATCTCATAAAATGTAATAACGAATTTTCAACCCAATCAACACTAAAAATATCTAAGGTATTGAACTACATCTGTATGGCAGTTAATCAATAAATAATATATTACAGTTAATTACACCTATCCCCCAAGGTGATTGTTTTTAAATTACCCACACTACGATATGCCGTTTTGTTATTGTAATGTGCATAAATAAAACGCTTTGGCGTGACAACAATGCCGGGTATTCCCCGAGAACCAAATCAATCACCACAGATTGATTGGTATGTGGCTCATTTGGATGCAATACATTTAAACCGATTCCTAACTGTTCAGTTGCAATTGAAACGTGGAGCTAATAGTGGATATTCGCTATCAGATATGCTTGGATGCGTCTGATGCGTACGTACAGTACAGATGTAATGCTTGAAAAGATATTGTTTCTTATAAGTGAAGTGTTAAATAACCACTAGTCTGTGGACGGGTTCAATTCCCGGCACATTCGCAAATCTTTGATGGATTAGGACCGCTTACAATAAATCCAAAAGCTTTTGAATTTACTTCATTTAAAATCACACAGATACAAGACAAAACATTATTAATAAGTAAATTTTATGTTATTTATCTTCGCGTGTAAATGTTTGGTTGTAATCCGATGGGAATTAAGAGACTTGCAAGCTTTTTGTGAGTAATTATTGGAGCTATTTAGAAAAAGATTTGATACATTTCGAGAAGCGGTTGGACAACAAACTCAACTTTAACCATTGTCTTGTTTTATCAACTTTAGTTTGATTACCGATTGGTACATTTAACGATCACAACTGTGTACGATCAAAGTAGAGAGAAATGTAGTTCAAACTATTCAGAAAACAGTTAAACCATCCCACCCCAAACTTAAGAAATTCAATTGTGCCACTTCGTTTTAAACAGATCCAAGAATGTCTATCTGCTAACATAAATATAACCTCATGTTTAGTAGTTGAAACTGGTAAACAAAAACGCTGTCTCGACTACCGCATCTACTTATAACATAAATAAATATTTTCATTTTATACCCGATTCCATACAAAATTTCATTCCTTGACCAGAGGGAGAGTTTTAAGAGATCGGAGAACCGAAACAAATCCTACCAATCACGCTCGTAGAGAATTATTTACAATATGTTTGGTAACACATGAAGAAATACATACCAACCTAAATTTGACTTTTTTAAATGTTGAGTAGAATAATATTTTGCTTGTTATGCAGCTGCCTCGGATCTATTTTGGAGAGGGTGCATTTTGAACATGACACTCCATCATGTCAAGCTAATACGATTGGTCCTTATAATATATTGGTCTCAAGGCATCATATTAACCGACTTAGCATTGGCGAGAGCTCTGTATATCATATTTCATCACTTGGCTACAAGATTCACTTGAAGTTCAGTGCTATAAATAGAAGTCTTTGTGATACTAAAAGGGGAAAGTGAAAATTAAATTTTCATAGTGGTTATCGTTAAATGTATAATACATAACATAGATAACCATATAGTTTTTTGTTTGATTGGTTTTACGATTTTTTTTCTTACGAATCATAACTTCAACAAAACTTAAGCTTTTAAACATTAAAACGTCTGGGATAGGTAAAGTAACTTTTTTTCTTTCTTTCTTATCAAATGGCGACCATACAACGTAGGTATTTTAAGCCAAGTATGAATAGAGATGAGTGTAGGATGAGTGGCGCGATCTTGTAGCGTTGTTAGTGACTAAGGCCGACATTCCTTAGACACAGCTGTTAATTAATAGCCCATACAGCTAATAGCAACAAAGGGACCTACAGTTTATAGTGGAATTCGAACCACATTTTGCCTTGGTATATATAGTACAGGTAAAATAATACAAAAACACTCCATATAAACAACAAAATTTGTACATTCATGAAATTTCACCCGTGAGTTACTAATAATATGAGAAATGAAGATCCGATGAGTCCCCAAAATTTTGGGCTTCCTAAGGCCCTTTTTGGGGCCCTTTTTGATCCGAAGGGCCCTTGTTCGTGAATAATTTTGTTTTTACGTTTAAGGTCGAGTGAGGTGTGGTTTTCGATGGCTTTAGTTATTTTAAATCGATTGGGACTAGTTTTAAGTGTATTAAACCACTCCATACAGGGTGTTTAGAAATGTTATTACTTTTTACGATATTTAAACATTTATTCATAGAGTAATAAAATTAGTTACCTCCATGCTCTACATAAAAGGGGATTATTTAAAATAATTGTAAATTTTACTACGTAAGGGGAAAGGATCACAAGGAGTAAGAGAAAATATTAAATACCCCCGTCACAGCAAACCTGCAGACTAAGCGAAATTCGGTTTTACTTACTTGATTTTCAATTAAATCTAAAATAGCATTGAGTTTAATGAATACTTAGGTTTGCTGCTACAAGGAGGCTAATAAAGTGTGTTTATAGTAAAATATTAATAGCCTAGTGTAAAACAAATAAATTTGACAAGTTTTATTAAGACATATCTATAAACAAACAAACAAAATCATTTTACACTATTCTCCTTAAGAATAACATGGAATTTTCAATTTACAATTTTTGAATTTTATTCGTAACTAATACACTTACAAAACGCGTTAATATACTAAATTATTTGTTTTCTTTAAGCTCCTTAAATGCTCTAGAGAAAAATTGGGAAACTTTGTGTTTTGAGGGTCAAAGATTACAAATTTATACCACATTTAGGACCGATTTTGCCGGTTTCGTTAAAATTGAACCAAAATTACTCGAGTTATCATGTTTACGGACACGTATATAACATGGATATATTATATTATATATATATATATATATGTTTATAAACCCTTTATGTAATATTTTGAGTTATCTCGCAACCTTCTAAACAGCAGAAGGGTGCTTTAGGTTTCTGGGGGCATCGAAATGAAAAGGTAAATCGGTTTCGGGTCTATGTTTTACCATAAGACCTTCGGTAATAGCTTATTTCCTATATGGGAAGTTCGCTAAAAGGGGATGGATTAAGTTTTACACTATAACATAATAACATAGGTTACTACGCAAAAATTTCAACTTTTAAGGTGATGTGAATAATCTTTTAATGTGTTTTTCATGCAAATCTATTAAGACTAATTTCAAATTGATATGTATTTTTCTTAGGTAGGCCTAGTTATTTAAGTTTTTTTTTTTTTTTTTTTTTTTTTACATTTATTAAAAATTAAAACAATTGTATTTGTATAAAACCTTACATTACATATTAAAATGAAGTACTTAAACTAAAGCTATTTTTCTACAATTTCCGTAGTATCTCTCTTTACAATTTCATCATCACAATAATTATTCTCAGACGACTCATTAACAATTTTATTATTCTTAGCAACTTGTCCATCTTTACTGATTTGGTCCAAGTTGGTGCTCAAGCAGGATTCCCCTTTACAAACCTTGCATATTGCAGAACAGGCAACACCAATCTTAAAGCACGAACAATGTGATTTGGTACAAAAACACCTTTCATACATAATGACGTTTGCAGCTTGTATCTTAATTTCCTCACAATTATTTTCAATCAATACAAGTACGGTTGTCTTTCGTGGTTATGACGACCAGGACACCGCTGACATCAGAGCAGCATTGTCGGTACAAGCATTTTTGTCCTGAACAATGGGAACGAGGTTTATAGGGTAAAAATTGGGTTTTCTCATTTACTTCACCCTCAAAACACAAAGTTCCCCAATTTTTCTCTAGAACATTTTAAATAGCTTAAAAACAAATAATTTAGTATATTAACGTGTTTTTGTATGGTTATTAGTTACGGATAAAATACTAAATTTGTAAATTTAAAATTCCCATGTTTTTCTTATGTAGAATAGTGTAAAATGATTGTTTCCTTGATCAAACTTACTTGTCAAATTTATTTCTTTTATACTAGGCTATTAATATTTTAATATAGACACACTTTAATAGCCTCCTTGTAGCATCAAACTTAGGTAATCGTTAAACGCAATGCTATTTTAGATTTAATTGAAAATCAAGTAAGTAAAACCGAATTTCGCTTAGTCTGCAGGTTTGCTGTGACGGGGGTATTTAATATTTTCTCTTACTCCTTGTGATCCTTTCCCCTTACGTAGTAAAATTTACAATTATTTTCAATAATCCCCTTTTATGTAGAGCATGGAGGTAACTAATTTTATTACTCTATGAATAAATGTTTAAATATCATAAAAAGTAATAACATTTCTAAACACCCTGTATGGAGTGGTTTAATACACTTAAAACTAGTCCCAATCGATTTAGAATAACTAAAACCATCGAAAACCACACCTCACTCGACCTTAAACGTAAAAACAAAATTATTCAGGAACAAGGGCCCTTCGGACCAAAAAGGGCTCCAAAAAGGGCCTTAGGACACCCAAAATTTTGGGGACTCATCGGATCTTCATTTCTCATATTATTAGTAACTCACAGGGGAAATTTCATGAATGTACAAATTTCGTTGTTTATAAAACCCTATTTTACCTGTACTAATACGAATTGGTCTATTTATCAGGATAGTACTGCGGATAGTCGAAGTACTCACTCGTGCGGACGTTAATCCACACCAGGGAGGATCGCATCCACAGTGCATGCCTATAAATATACTCAATTCGTAACCTCCTAGTAGCTGGATTA